CCTTATCTTGCCTTGTCTTGTATTGCGTTGCCTCACCTCGCCTCACCTCACTTTGTCTTGCCTTGCCTCCCCTCGCCTTGCCATGCCTTCAATTCCCTTTGCTTGCCTTGCCTCGTCGTCCCTTCCCTTCCCTTCCCTTCCCTTCCCTTCCCTCGCCTCACTATGTCTTTATTTCTGTTGCCCTGCCTTGCCTCACCTCGACTCACCATGAGTCACCATGCCTTGCCTTCCATTGCCTCGCATTGCCTCGCCTCGCCATGCCATTCCTTCCTTTGCCATGCCTTGACTTGTCTTGCCCTGTCTTCCCTTGCCTTGCCATGCCTTGCTATGCCTTTCCTTCCCTTGCCATGCTTTGCCTTGCCTTGGGTTTCCTTCCCTTGCTTTTTCTTGCATTGCCTTGCCTGGCCTTGACTGACCTGGCCTTTCCTGGCCTTGCCTTTCCTGGCCTTGCCTTCCCTGGCCTTGCCTTGCCTTCCCTTGCCTTGCCTTGCCTTGCCTTGCCTTGCCTTGCCTTGCCTTGCCTTGCCTTGCCTTGACTTGACAGCCCTTTCCTGGCATAGCCTGGTCTGGATATGCCTTGCCTTGCCTAGCATTGCTTTGCCTGGCCTTGCATTGCCTTTCCTTTCCTTGCATTTCCTTGACTTGCCTGGCCTGGCCTGGCCTGTCATAGGCTTGCCTGGCCTGGCCTTTCCTTGCCTTTTCTTGCCTTGCCATTTCTTGCCTTGCCTTGCCTTGCCTTGCCTTGCCTTCCCTAGCCTTGCATTGCCTTCCCTTGCCTTGCCTTCCTTTGTCTTGCATCGCCTTGCCTTGCCTGGCCTTGCCTGGCCTGCCCTAGCCTGGCCTGGCCTTGCCTCCCTTGCATTGCTTTGCCTTGCCTTGCCTTGCCTTGTCTTGATCTGCCTTGAACTTCCTTGCCCTGCCTTACCCTGCTTTGGCATGCCTTGACTTGCCTTGCCTTTCATTGCCTTGCCTTGCCTTGCCTGGCATTGCCTTGCCTTGCCTTGATCTGCCTTAAACTTACCTTGCCTTGCCGTGCCTTGACTTGACTTGCCTTTCATTGCCTTGCCTTGCCTTTCCTGGCATTTCCTTGCCTTCCCTTGCCTTACCTTGCATTGATCTGCCTTGCCCTTCCTTGCTCTGCCTTGCCCTACCTATCCGTGCCCTGCCTTACCCTGCCCTGCCCTTCCTGGCCTTGCCTTACCTTGCCTTGCCTTGCCATAACTTCTTTTGCCCTGCCTTGCCTCGCCTCGCCTTGCCCTGCGTTGCCTTGCGCATCCTGGCCCTGACTTGCCTTGCCTTTGCAGGGCACTGCAGGTACAGCTGAAAATTCCCTGACTCTTTCCTTGGCCCATGATTGAGTTGCTTTGGAGATAAACCTGACTCTACAGCTCTAACACCAAAAGGAACTGTTCATCTTCATGTGCAGCAGACACACAGATCTCTTGCTGTGCCAGGTTCACTTGAAAGTTACTGAGGAAAGTATCCATGGGCTGGGAAAGGAAACAGCACAGGAGGGAAGTTTTAGTTAATTATTGCTCTTCCTGGTAAAACCTGTAGGGCTCTAGCATCTTGTTCCATATTTTCCAAGGTCACTGGAAGGGGTTTCATTATTAAAAAAGTATTTCATTTTCTACTTCCCTGTGTTCCAGGAGAAACAGCAACAAGGGCCTCCCCTTGTGCCACAGCTTGTGACACTGTGCAAGACGTGACAAGAAAAACAGATGGGCTGGTACTTGTGGAGAAGCCTGTGGAATGCAGAGCTTCATCAGGGACAAGGACAGGTTTCTGTGTAAGCACTGACTCAGTTCAGCCCAGCTGTGCTGTATCGAAGAGCAGCACCCCTCGCTGCCCTGTGCGGAGTCGGGGCTGGGGTGCGTGCTCCCCACCCCTTCTCTCCTGCCTCCTTTGTCTGCAGTGAAACAGAAACTGTATTCTCTGAAGAAATTCTTTCCGGTGAGGGTGGTGAGACACTGGAATGTGTTTCCCAGAGAAGTCCCCCATGCCTCTTGTGAAACTGTTCAGGATTTAGGGAATGACTGATCAACCTGAAAGAGCTCCTTGTATGAGCAGGGAGTATCCAACTTTCCTGATCTCTGTGTGCTGCTCCCACCTTTGCCGGGCAACCAGAGCTCCTGATGCAGCCAGGGAGCAGCCAGCATCCAACTACTTGCACTGTGCAAAGGCTGGGGCCTAACAGGAACTCCTGGGGAAGCAGAGGGCTCCAGGAAATGGGGGGGAAATGCATCAGCACATTCCACCCCGTAACTAAAGTCAGTCCATCATTCTCAGAGTGCTGTGCTCACCTCTTGCCGCTGTGCCAACAAACAGAGTAGTGCTGAATTCCAGTTATAAATCGAGGGCGATGTTTGGTTGCTTTACCCATAGAGGTGTTGCTTTACTCATAGAGGTATCATAGAGACGTCAGAGAGTCGTTTAATTACAATTATATATATGGACAAGTTTCTGCATCAGCATAACTTGTTCAGCTGATTTCTATGCTCTAATGGATAGCAGAATGTTTAACAAGAAACAGAATAGGATATAAATTAGTGAAATTAAGGTAGGATGTAAAATTCAACTTTAAAGCCCCCGTTGCTGTTGCTGACCATCACACCAGGGTATCCTGTCAGAGAGGCTCTCATGCTCAGTGTGTGGACTTCCCAGAGATAGGTTAATGGTTGGACTTGATGTTCTCAAAGGGCCATTTTCAAATTAATTGATTGATTGTAGGAAACAAAGATTTTTAGCCTTAAATCTTTGTATCATCAGGCTGTTTCCCATGGTATTTTCCTTGAGCCCCAGGGAGCCCTGGAAGGAGCCCAGGGGGCAGAGGCAGAGCCACCTTGGGCTGGGCCTCTGCTGCTAAGCTGGGACCGAGGGGAGACCTGTGAGACACAGGGAGCTTAAAGGCACTTGGCAGTGGAGGTTGCTGAGGAGGAGGAGGAGGAACCTTCTGAAGGAGAAACCTTCCCAGTCCTGTTTGTGGTAAGGCACTGGGTGCAGGGCAATGCAGCTGCAGTTTCTCTCTGTGTAGATAAGGAGGAGGATGTGCTGCAGAGCAGGGCTTCCCCCTGCACCATGCAGGGACAGGACAAGGCAGGTCCCTTGTCCCAGGGCTGGCTGCAGGGTGTGAATGTGGGTGTGCAGGCAGGGGTGCCCAGCGCTGCCCTTGCAGCAGGGTCCCTGCAGCCCAAAGGCTGTGTGCAGGTGCAGGGACACTGCGGCCTGCCAGGGTCAGCACTCGGCCTGCCCGGGAGCTCCCCATGGAGCTCGGGGGGAGCTGTGGGGAAAGGAGAAACCCCTGACGGGGAAGGGAAGTGCTGTGTGGGTGATGCTGCTCCAATCTGCCGTCACTCTGAGCACTTCTTCAGAGGGTCCTTCTGAAAGACACTGAGGCATCATTTACCTGATAGGGAAGGATGCTGAACTTTGATGGTTTTCCCTCTTGGTGGGCAGGTTGGGCAGTGGGAGCTGGGAATTTACTTCTCTGCTTTGGGGGAGGCACCGAGAGCCTTGAGAGGGCTTGTGTGAGCTGCTCCTGAGCCCCTGCACAAGCAGAGATGCCCCTGGGCAGAGCCCTGCTGCTGGAGGGGGTGGGCAGGGCAGAGCTGAGCACACAGCCCATGGCATGGGCTCTGGGAGCACTGAGAGGGAGCAGAGCTGGGCACAGAGCAGCAGCTCCTGGCAGGGACAGCTCCAGGCAGCAGAGATATGGATGGGCAGGGAGTGGGGGAAAAGTGCAGCCCAGCCCTGGGGAGGGTGCATTCAGGCAGCTCTCTTGGGGTCTGCCGCTGGAGGTGACTGCTGGCTGTGCTCTGCTGCCCACAGCCCTTTGCTTCTCAGCGTGAGAGCTCTGTGGACTGTCCCTTAAAACTGTTCTCCCCTGGTCTCAGCACCGGACAGGTGTTTGTGGGAGTTCTTAAGATCAATTTGTGTGTGAAGGCACCTTACAGGCAGTGCAAGTTTGAGCACAGGGCAAGTGGGAGACGACTGATGGAAACTGCAGCTCTCTTGGTTCTGCAAGGAACTGAGACTTTTTGCTCTGAGCAATGCTCTTCTGATTGTACCTAGGAAGAAGCCTCAGCAGTGTAATGACATGACTGGTGATGACGCTGAACCTCTCCTCTGCTTCTAAAATGTGCTCAGTTGTGAATGTGTAAACTGAACTTCTGTATCTGACATCCCTCCTGTCCTAACCTGTCACCGCCTTTTTCTCCTCTGACGGTGCCCCATGCCCAGAGGCAGCACATGTCCAACGGCAGCTCCATCACCCAGTTCCTCCTCCTGCCATTCGCACACACGCGGGAGCTGCAGCTCTGCCACTTCTGGCTCTTCCTGGGCATCTCCCTGGCTGCGCTCCTGGGCAATGGCTTCATCATCACCAGCACAGCCTGTGACCAGCGCCTCCACACCCCCATGTACTTCTTCCTCCTCAACCTCTCCCTGCTGGACCTGGGCTGCATCTCCACCACTGTCCCCAAATCCATGGCCAATTCCTTCTGGGACACCAGGGCCATCTCCTACACAGGCTGTGCTGCACAGCTCTTTTTCTTTGTCTTTTTCATTTCAGCAGAGTATTTTCTCCTCACTGCCATGTCCTACGACCGCTACGTGGCCATCTGCAAGCCCCTGCACTATGGGACCCTCCTGGGCAGCAGAGCTTGTGTCCACATGGCAGCAGCTGCCTGGGGCAGTGGCTTTCTCAGTGCTCTTCTGCACACAGCCAATACATTTTCACTGCCCCTGTGCCGAGTCAGTGCTGTGGAGCAGTTCTTCTGTGAAATCCCCCAGATCCTCAAGCTCTCCTGCTCACACTCCTACCTCAGGGAAGTTGGGCTTCTTGTGGTTGGTGTGTGTTTATCATATGGGTCTTTTCTGTTCATTGTGGGGTCCTATGTGCAGATCTTCAGGGCTGTGCTGAGGATGCCCTCTGAGCAGGGACGCCACAAAGCCTTTTCCACGTGCCTCCGTCACCTGGCTGTGCTTTCCCTGCTTCTCAGCACCGGCGCATTTGCCTACCTGAAATCCCCCTCCATCTCCTCCCCATCCCTGGATCTGGTGGTGTCAGTGCTGTACTCGGTGGTGCCTCCAGCAGTGAACCCCCTCATCTACAGCCTGAGGAACCAGGAGCTGAAGGATGCTGTGAGGAAGCTGGTGACCAGATGTGTTTCAGCAGATATACGCTGCTTGCTTTACCCTGCAAAGGGCTTCCAGTGTAGGTCATGACAGGCCATGTCTGTCTTTCCTGCTTTACATTTGTTTTCCTGTTTCGATTTGTGGTGATGTCTTCATAGAAATGTCAGTTTTCATCTCCTCCTCCTTAAGTAGCCACTCGTGTTGTCTGGCACACAGGCTTTGCGTCAATGGAGGTGTCTCACTTTATTTAAGGGAAATAAATGATCCTGCAGCAAGTTCTTCTCTGTGATATGTCCTCACATGGCAGGAATGAAGGGGAATGAAAGCAGCTTTCTGGCTGCTCCAGCTCTGGGATGGCTGCTCTGTGCCTGCAGCAGGAAGAGCTCTCGGGGTGCCCAAGGGCCAGGGCTGTTGTGCTGATGTGGGGAGATGGGATGGCATGGGGGGGTGTCCTGGGCAGGAGAGCAGGGGACACAGAGGTCCCTGCAGGGGACTGCCCTGCAATGGCACAGGCTGGGGCTGCCTGGCTGAGAACAGCCCATGGGAAAGGTCTGGGTGGGCAGGAGCTGGACAGCAGGCAGCATGTGCCCTGGCAGCAAGGGAGGAGAGCAGCATCATGGGCTGTATGAGCAGGAGCACGGCAGGAGAACAAGGGAAGGGATGATCTGGAATCCTCCATACAGGCTTCAGATCTGCAGTTCAGGTGTGGGTTTAATAATGGGCCCTCAGGTCAGGAGATACTGGAGCAAGATGCCTGTGGGGAGACTCTGGGGGAGCTGGGCTTCTCCAGCCTGGAGAAGGGAAGGCTGATGGGGACCTGAGATTTTGGGAAGGGAAGGCTGATGGGGACTGGCTGCCTGTAGCAGCAAGGAGGACATGGAGAATACAGAGCCAGGCTCCTCACCGTGGTGCCTGTTGGGAGGACAAAAGGCAGTGGGGGATAGTGACAGAGGAGAGGTTCAGGCAGGACAGAAGGAAACCTTGTTCCCATCGGCTCAGGCAAGTGCTGCATCAGGTCACCCAGAGAGGCTGTGCAGTCTCTGGCCTTGAGGATTTCCAACTCAGCTTAAATCAAGCCTTGAACCACTTGCTCTGACTCTGCTCCTGACAGTTTCGACTTGAGACCTGCTGGGGTCCCTTCCAACCTCTGTTCACTTCTGATCCTACAATGATGGGCTTATGAATTATCACAAAGATGCTCTGAGGGCTGGAGTATGTCTCCAGTAATGACAGCTGAGAGCGCTGGGGGTGTTCAGCCTGGAGAAGGCTCCAGGGAGACCTTACTAAAACCATTCCTAAACAGGGCCTACAAGAAATCTGGAGGGGGGTTATTTGCAAGGGCCTGTAGGGACAGGACAAGGAGGAACGGCTTTAAGCTGACAGAGGGGAGAGTGAGATGAGATCTCAGGACAAAGCTCTTCTGTGTGAGGGTGGTGGTGGTAGGACACTGGCACAGGGTACCATCTCTGGCAGTGTGCAAGGCCAGGTTGGACACAGGGGCTTGAAGCAACCTGCTCTAATGGAAGGTGTCCTTGCCCGTTGCTGGGGGTTGGAACTGGATGAGCTTTAATGTCCCTTCCAGCCCAATCCAGTCTGGAATTCCAGGATTCAGGAATCAATAGCATGTTGAGGAGAGGATGCCCTTGAAGGGAGTATTGAAAGGGGACTCTCAGGCTTTCCCAGAGCACCCAGAGCATTTCCCAGTCTGGAATATAGGAAACATTGGACCGAGGCCATGCATCCAAAGGGAGGCAGAGCAGGGCTGCTGGGCTGCAGCTCAAGCCTGTCCTAGGCAGAAATGGCAAGGAAGCAGAGACCAACACAACCTCCTTGGGTAGGGGATGCCCTGCTGTGCAATGACAGCAGTGACTTTTGTGGTTTAAGCCAAGCCGGCAACTCAGAACCATGCAGCCACTGGCTCAATCCCCCCACCCCGTCCTCCCGCTTCCGGAGGGATGGGGAGGAAAATGGAAAGAACGTAACGCCCACGGGTTGAGATAAAAACACTCCAGGAACTAAGGTGTAACACAAATCACTGCTGCTGGCACCAGTAATAATAATGATAAAGGAAATAACAAGGGAACAGAATACAACCGCTTACCGCCTGCCGATAGATACCCAGCCTGACCGAGCAGTGAACTACCCCTTCCGTGTAACTGACCCCAGTTTATATAGTGCATATGTCGTGCTGTGCTATGGAATACCTCTTTGGCTAGTTTGGGTCAGGTATCCCGTCTCTTCTTCCCCCTGGCTTCCCCTCCTCCCTGCCAAGCGTGAGACTCACAAAGTCCTTGGTCAGAGTAAACATTACTGAGCAACAACTGAAAACACCGGTGTTACCAGCGCTGTTCCCAGGCTGAAAGTCAAAAAGCACAGCACTGCACCAGCTACTAAGAAGGAGAAAAATGCCGGCTACTGCTGAACCCAGGAGAGTGACAAAGCCCCAGTCCCTGCCCACAGGGTTCCTGGGGGGAGAAACTCAGGTCCCAGCAGGACCATGACATAGAGGAGTCATAGAGAAGTCATAGAGGGTCACTGAGGGGTCTTAGAGGGGTCATAGAGGATTCATAGAGGAGTCTTAGAGGAGTCTTAGAGTTTTCGGACAGGAGTCATAGAGGAGTCAGAGAGGCATCAGAGAAGACTCAGAGAGGAATCAGAGTGTCATAGAGAAGTCATGGAGGAGTCATTGAGGAGTCATAGTGGAGTCATAGTAAAGTCATACAGCAGTCATATAGGAGTCATGGAGGAGTCATACAGGAGTCTGAGAGGAGTCTTACTTTCATAGAGTCATAGAGGTGTCATAGAGGAGTCATAGAGCAGTTATAGTGTAATCACAGAGGAGTCATGGACGAGTGATAGAGGAGTCCTAGTGTCATACAGGAGTTGTAGAGGAGTCATAGAGACATAGAGAAGTCATAGAGTCATAGAGGAGTCATAGAGGGGTCATAGAGGGGTCATAGAGGGGTCATAGAGGAGTCATAGAGGAGTCACAGAGGAGTCACGGAGGAGTTATAGAGGAGTCATAGAGAATTCATAGCATCATAGATGTGTCAAAGAGAAGTCATAGAGAAGCCATTGTGTCATAAAGTCATAGTGGAGTCATACAGGAGTCATAGAGGGGTTTTAGAGGAAGCATAGAAGTTTCATTTAGTGGTCATGGAGGAGTCATAGTGGGGTAATGGAGGAGTCATGGAGGACTCATAAAGGAGTCATAGAGAAGTCATAGAGGAGTCATAGATTCTTAGAGGTGTCATAGAGGAGTCAGAGGAGTCATAGAGTAGTCAAAGGAGTCATAGTGGAGAGATAGAGGAGTCATAGTGTAGTCATAGAGGAGTCACAGAGGAGTCATAGAGGAGTCAGTCATAGACAAGTAATAGAGGAGTCACAGAGGAGTCAGACAAGTAATAGAGGAGTCATAGATTAGTCATAGAGGCATCATGGTGGCATCATAGAGGTGTTATAGAGGGGTCATAGAGGTGTCAGAGGGATCATAGACACCTCATAGAAAACTCATAGGGGTCATAGTGGAGTCACAGAGGTGTGAAAGAGAGGTCAAAGAGGCATCATAGAGAAATCATAGAGGTGTCATAGAGGAGTCATAGAGGAGTCATAGAGGAGTCATAAAGGAAACGTAGGGGAGTCAAAAAAGAGTCATAGAAAAGTCATAGAGGAGTCAAAGTGGAGTCATAGAGAAGTCATAGAGGAGTCATAGAAGAGTCATAGAGGATTCATGGAGGAGTTAAGGAAGACTCATGGAGGAGTCATTGAGGAGTCATAGAGTAGTCATAGAAGACTCATAGAGGAGTTGTAGAGGAGTGATAGAGAAGTCATAGTGTTATAGAGGGGTCATAGAGTATTCAGAGGGCTCATAGGTGGCTCATAGATGAGTCACAGGAGACATAGTGGAGTCATAGAGGTGTCATAGAGGGGTAATAGAGGTGTCATAGAGACATCATAGATGGGTCATAGAAGAGTCAGAGAGCAGTCACAGAGGAGTCATAGGGGAGTCTTAAAAGAGTCATGGAAGAGTCATACAGGGGTCATGGAGGGGTCATAGAGGTGCCAGAGGGCTCATAGACGCCTCATAGAAAAGTCACAAAAGTCACAGTGGCATCATAGGGGTGTCAAAGAGGGGTCAAAGGCATCATAGAGGTGTCATAGAGGAGTCATGGAGGAGTCATAGGGGAGTCATAGGGGAGTCATAAGAGAGTCATAGAAGAGTGACAGAGGAGTTATAGAGGAGTCAGAGCAGTCATAGAGTATTTGGAGGAGTCATAGTGGAGACAGAGGAGTCATAGAGTAGTCAGAGGTGTCATAGTGGAGACTTAGAGGAGTCCTAGAGAAGTCATTGAGAACTCAGAGAGGAGTCATAGAGCAGTCACAGAGGAATCTTAGTCATAGAGAACTCAGAGAGGAGTCATATAGAGCAGTCACAGAGGAGTCTTAGAGGAGTCATAGTGGAGCGAGAAGAGTCATAGAGGAGTCATAGGGGAGTCATAGATTCATAGATGTGTCATAGAGGATTCATACAGGAGTCATTGTTTCATAACGTCATAGAGGATTGATACAGGAGTCATAGAGGAGTCATAGTGGGTTAGGGTTAGGGTTAGGCTCTACAACTCTTAGAAGAGTTGTAGAGCAGTCATAATGTCATAGAGACTTAGAGGTGTCATAGAGGACTCAGAGCAGTAAATGATCAGTCCTCTTAGAGGAGTCATAGAGGATTCATAGTGGAGTCATACTGGAGTCATAGTGGAGACATAGAGGAGTCATATTGGAGTCATAGAGGTGTCATAGAATATTGAAAGACGAGTCATAGAGGAATCATAAAAGAATCATAAAGGAGTCAGAGAGGAGTCAGAGATGAGTCATAGTGGAGTCAGTGTGGACTCAGAAAGGAGTCAGAGAGTCATAGATGTGTCATACAAGAGTCATGCAGGAGTCATGGAGGAGTCCTGGAGGATTCATTGAGGACTCATGGAGGAGTCGTAGTGGAGTCATAGAGGAGTGGTATAGCTGTCATGGTGGAGTCATGGAGGAGTCATATAGAAGTCATCGAGTTACTGTGGTGTCATACAGTCATAGAGGAATCATAGAGGAGTCATAGAGGAATCATAGAGGAGTCATAGAGGAATCATAGAGGAGTCATAGAGGAGTCATAGAGGAGTCATAGAGGAGTCAAAGGTGTCATAGAGTAGTCAGAGGAATCATAGTGGAGACCTAGAGGAGTCATAGAGGAGTCATAGAAAAGTCATAGAGGAGTCATAGATTCATA